TTTTCTCTTCCACAGTTCCTAACTTAGAACTTGCATGCAGCTTGGCACTTTGATAAATTGTACTGACTGTTTTAGATAAAATTCAGTGGAGAATTCTCAATAAAAACCCTTTAAATCGCAAAAGGAAACATCCTTATGTGGATTAAAAAAAAAAAAGTATCTACCAGAAAGCAAACTAGCAGTGCTGTTTTTAGAGCAAAAGCAAGAGTAAAATGTTTCTTATTAGTGCTTCAATCATCCCTGTTGATGAGGTCCCAGTCAATGTAATAAGGCAAACAAATGGGTTATAAGCATTAGAAAGGAAGGGCCAAAATATTATTTGTATGTGAAATGATGAACAATTCAAAAAGCCCAAGACAATCAAATAAAATTTAATTGGCACCAATTGAACTCACTAATGTAATTAGATAGAAAATGAAGAGATCAGCCCGAACACCTCCATAGCTTTCCCATGTATCACCAATAGGAATTAGAAAAATGAAAGAGCTCCTTACACTAGCAATAAAGATGTAGGAAGTCCCTGAGAATAAGTTTACGCAAAGATGTATATGATTTATGTGATAAAATTCCAAAACTCAGGGCAGGGCATGCGAGGATGGGAGGATCATGGTCCTAACCTGGCCTGGGCAAAAACTTGAGATCCTATCTTAAGAATAAACTAGTCATTTGCCTAGCAAGTGTGAGATCCTGAATTCAAACCCCAGTACAAAACAAAGAAACAAACAAACAACCCAAACCAAAAATCCCATAAGCTCTGAGGCAAGGTGTGGGGTGAGGATGGGGGCTGATCGATGTGGTGGTTTCCACTGGAAACACACCTGCTCTTCACAGCCCTGACTCCCTTCCCAGTGAATTGTATTTGTCCTGTTTTACATTAAATGTATTCATTCATTCAATGGTTTTTGATGGTTTTCCTTGGATCTCAGTGTTTCAGATATTTCCCAGTATTGTCTCTAAGGAGGCAAAACAGAGCACTGGTAGTAAGTGGTTCAAGTTTTATGGCCAGGAAAATTGGAGGCTTTTATGCCTTTGGTTTTGTCACTGGGGCCTTAAATGATCTTCATTTGTAAAACAGGACTGATGAGATCTGCCTCACAGGATTTTTGTGAGGACTATATCAGATCTATGGAAAACTCTTTGTCCTATGCCTAGCACCCATAAATCTAAGATTGCTATGGCACCAGAGGCAAGGTGGTCAAATCTACCAAAGGTTCCTGCCCATGGTATCAGACTTAGAAAGCTCTTTCCACCACAAAACTATAAAAGTATGGCCTGTGTTTAGTTTCTCTCTCTCTCTCTCTCTCCTCTCAATCTTTATCTCTCTCTCCCTTCTTCCCTCCCTCCATCTCCCTCTGGCTTGTCTCCCAGTCTGTCTTTATATTTATGGAAATATATTTGTTTAGGGTGAAGTGTAGCAGTGTTTTGTTACTTGCTCTTAAATAGTTAGGCAGCTCTTCTATTACCGTTTGTTCCACTGACTAGAATTATTAGAAGGTGACCTTTGAAGTCTTAGGCTAGAAGTGTAGCTCAGTGGTACAGTACATGCTCAGCATGTGAAAGGCCCTTTTTTAATTCCAGCACACACACAAAACTTGGGAAGACCTAGTCTGTCTGTTGCTGGACTCTGCATGCTACTTTAAATAAATATTGAATTGTATTATTCCTCTTTGTGGAGTTGACCCAATGCCTTATATCTCTCTTCTTTTGACTACCATTACCTTCTATTTCAGGTAAAATATTGCAGGCTTTTTGTCCTTTCAAAGAGCCTATCGTTTAAACAGCAGAGGAAATAATGTAAACATAAATAAACACAAATGCAGCTTGAACTGAACATACAAATTAAAAGCAGTATACGAGTTTATAGAAATTTCAAGAATGGCTGTAAGCTACTGGGAGATGCAGAGGGTACTGCCTGTGCAGTGGCCAGTGATCAGCTTCCCAGAGGTCTTCACAAACTAACCCCATGCTGGTCCCTGACTCCTAGATACACAATTAGACTCTGTAATCTTACTAATATGGCAGGATTGACCCAAATTCCGAATGCTATGTAATGGCTTGACATTGAGAAATATGATTCTATAGAAAGAACACTGTGTACACCATCACGGAATTACCTTTCTGTAGAGAGTGGGAAAATGCCTTTGGTTTTCAGTTTGTGGGGTCTGATTCTATTACAAAGACAACACATATCCTGGAAACCTGAATGAATTGTGGTTCTTACCTCAATGAGACAGAAAATTATAATCAAGATCGTAACTCCCATGGCCACAGGTATTGCCAAGATAAGTTTGTTTTCATAACCATATGCTGGAACTTCTTGTGTGAGCTAAAAAGAAAAATAATAGTTTTTGTTAAGTAGCAAGGAGATGGGAAGGATGAAAACTATTTAAAACCCCATTGTTCCAGATGAGTAGCTTGTAGGTTCTTAAAGAATGCAAATATGTTACATGCCTTATTAATTTGCATTTTTCTATTAAATTTTATCTGTTTTAGGTCCACTTCAGTCTCCAAAGGAGCAAAATGGGGGACACAGTCTTAGCCTCATAACTTTGCACTGCACTAGCACCCCTGGTCTTCCTGCTTCCTGCCTAAGCATGGGAAATCTTGGGCGTATCCTGAATGATGGGAAAATCAGGGTCTTATGTTTTACAGATTTCCTCACCTCACTTGATTCCTGCCCCTTCTGTCCACGCTGAAGCTCTGTACTGTCACTGATGTAGTCCTCTGTTTTCCCAGTGGTCTGTATCCAGTCAGTTCTGGACACACTGTGTTCTCGCTCCTCACTGAGAAGTTTCATTAGGTAGCCTGTTCTGAGGATGAGCTTAGAACAGGCCTTCTGCACATCAGCATCAGAGCAGTCAACCCCTAAGGTCTTGATCATTTGAGAAAGAAGTGTTCTCACATCATTGTTGGGGATGAGGGACTGAAGCTGCTGGATTAGTTTTGATACAAGAAGGTCAGCCAGGGATGCCAGTGTGGTAAGGAGATCTTTGGGCTTGGTGGTTGAGTCAGTGCCCATGTTGGGGTACTCCCATTGTATCTCATTGGTTTGTTTCACAGTTGGTATTTTGAATGCACCCACACTGGAATCTGCATCAGCAGCATCTTCCTGGTTTGTGGCTTCAGAGAAACTTTCTTCTGGCTCATCAGTGTTTGCCATAAGAGCATTTTCTTCAGTCTGTATTTGTATAGGAGTGTCCTCTGTAACAGGTTCTGAAAGAGCATATAATTCTGAAAAAGGGTTGTCCTGAGAACTCAGGTCTCCCAAAGATGCAATGGCCCTTTGTGAAGGGGAATTTATGAGGCTCCTCACCGCAGGGAAGGGAGGCCTGTGTGCAAGCAGCATGCTCAAGCGAGACTTTTTCTTTCTGACCTTTTGAGTCAGTTTTGACTTAGGTGTTCCATGGACCACACGAGAGCCTGTTTTATGAAGGAGATTTTTTCGGTCATGTATGATTGGTTTAGAAGCCTCTATGTTTTTAACTCTAGCATTTGCATCTTCTAAAACAAACATGGTGTCGGTTAAGTCTTTTGCTTTATTTCTGACGTCAGGTAGTGGTTTTGCAATAGTAGACATGTCCGCTGAGTATGGATTCAGGGAAGAAGAGACAGTTGCCTTCTGTTCTTCTGTGAGTGAGGGGTCTGTTTGGAAGGTGAATTCCTCTGATTTCCATGGCTCCTGTACCATGGGAAGCTTCTGCAGCTCCCCTAGGGATGGTCTCCTAAGCCTTCTTTCTGCACCAATATTCTCCATAAGAGGCAGGGCACTCTGTCTCCCCCAGATGCTCTGTTTCCTCACTTCCTTGAAATGCCTTTTCTGTATGCTTTTTGGCCCCTTGAGGACTCTGTTCACCCTCTGCAGCCTTTTCTCTGCAGTCTCTGCCAGGCTGTTTTCCTGGGGTTGGTCAGTATCCATTTTCCATTGAAAGATTTGGCGTTCAGATTTGGGACTAAGAAGGCTAGGCTGCATAAACATGGCTGTTTTTTCTTTTTTAACCTCATCAATTTTTTCCTGAATTTCTGCATCTAACAAACTTTCCAGAAAATAGAGCTTGTTCAATTTACTTTTGTAAGCTGAGTTGTCTGAAGAAGGTTTAAGAGGGGGTCTCCTTGTATCAGTTTTCAAATTACCAGGGGAATTATTTCCATTTTGCACATTGAAAAAAAGCAGTTTAATGAATGGTAACAATTTTGATTCTACATCTTTTAGATTTCCCTGTGAGAAAAATGGCAATAGGTAATTTAGTGCACTAATGAGATCACTTTCATCATCATTAAAGTCTGGCTGCTCATTTATAAAGCCAGAAGAGCTGACACCATTTTGGTCCTCATATCCCCTTTCTGGTTCAATAGTCAACTCAGTGTTTGTGCTCTTCTTCCGGGTCTGTAACACCTTCATGAATTTTCCTTCTGTGTTCTCTATAGATGCTTCTTCAACTGTCAAAAAAAAAAAAAAAAAAAAAAAGACTGCTGTTGAGAAGGGGAAGACTGGTGGACAGTTTTTTTTTTTTTCTTAAATCAGATCATCGCTACAAATCACAGACAAAGTAGAGGGGAGGCATTATTTGAGTGTCGTTTAAAGGGGAGAAAAATAAGCCCAAACTTTAAACCTATGAAATGGCAACAAAGAGAGAAAAAGACAACTTTGACAAAGTAGCTACCTATTCAGAACATTCCATAGTGTGAAATACAGGAACTCTGGTTAGGAAAGCCAAATGCCCAATACTCAATAAAATACCAAGACTGGAAGACAAATATTTGCCTGCTCAGCAAACCTCTTCACATTCACAGTTCCCATATTGTCCTGACTCAGACACAGAAGGATAACAAAGCTTCTCTCTCAACTCCCCTTCCCCATACTGTGTTCTTGCTACTGTCACAGAGAGCCAGATGAAGGACAGTCCTATGAGGGGAGCATTCTTTCGCTAAGAAATCTTCAGGTGGCCTGTCCCTCTCCACCTACCCATTTAGTTCCTTTGCTTGGCTCTGATCCCATGTAGCCTAACCCCCATAACAGAAGACTCTATACCAAACAAAAACAAAAACACTCTACCATTCCTGGATTTTTCCTTAAATTTGGTCAGGGAGCTGGGATATGCAGGTCAAGGAATTTTCAGTTTGCCTGGCTGTATGTCTCTGTGCAATGTGCAACAAATCTGTAGAGTAACAGCAACTTCTGGGGAAACACGTCTTGAGGTCCTAAATCCCTGGGGGAAAGCTACTTTTTTTTCTTTTCTGTCCTTTTTTGTTTTTTCTTTTTTAAACTTTATTTTTATTTTGAAAAGATACTTTAGCCCAATGTTTGAACTGCTTTCATTTCATTACTAACAATTCCAACTTGGGAGCCATCCAAAGCATCTGATTGCATCGAGGTCAGCTGGAGTATGGTGTAGTTAGGCTTTTTTTTCCAGGACATTTGAGAGTATTTGTGGTGGTAATGAGAGTTAGAGCAGGAGACAAGGGTGATGAGGAAGGAAGAATGTGGACTCCTGGAGAGCCCAGAACTGGGGACAGATGATCCAGGTATTGGGATAAAGCACATGGCACCTGAGATCTTATTTTCCTCAGGATAAAAGGAAATGAAAAAGTATGTTTTTCATGTGGGTAAAACGAGAATAATGTTACTGCTGAAAAATTGTTTTGAACACTGGGTTCACGTAAGTCACAAAGTGACTTCACCAGTAGGCTTGTGTTTTCAAGCTATCAGGATATCAAAGCACTGATATTTTGAAAGCCAAGACGTTAGTGCTAATGACAAGATATAATACCTACATATACCCATAAAAGCACCTAAGGGATCTGTGCATAGATAGAAAAGCCTCAACTGAGAGTGAGTTCAGAGTTGGACAGTCTAAGCATGAAGAGCTCTCACTTCATTAGGAGAGTAAGGCAGTAATTGCTAGTTACAGAATTATAAACTCCCAGATTCCAAATAAGAGAGTAGCACTTACTTTTTTTTTTTTATATAAAATTGCAAAAACAAACAAGCAAAACACTGCCCTGTAGGTCAGGGAGCACTTGAGACATAACACATATAAAAGCTACTTACAAGCTGCATGACACTGTATGAATAAGTGATCCCTAGATGTCAAAGCCCCAAGGGGAGAATACAGTACAGTGACCATTAATATTATTCCCTGCCTCTTCTAGGTCCTTGCCCATATGGAAGAGTTCTATTAGAAATTATGCAATGACAACTAAGAACCTGACATTGAGCACGGGAGCAGTTCAGAAATTTAGGAAGTTTAACTCTGGGTGAATAAATAAAAGTAAAGCAATTACATTATTAGTTTAATAATTTATCACTATTTAGAAACTGAATATTAGAAATTAAAATTAAAACATTTTTCAAAAGACAACGGACTCACGACACTGTGTGGTGTTTGGCAGACATTCATTGTCACAATGCAGCTTGACTGTCTTGCAGACAACTTCAATGTTACTTTTATATTGGCAGAGGCAGCAGGCCATATGGCTAGGTAAGATCCTACAGATGGAAACACAGATAATTAAGTTAATGGAAAGGGGGTACTGAAGGGTAGAAGAGGAAGGCCACAGGGCTGTGCAAAAAGAACTCTTCAGGTAGCACATAACCTGGACAGGTTGGAAAGAGCCCAAAGGTAAATTGCTGCTCTTGCATATTGAAAATAAACAGGAAGGAAGACAGGTGCCTAACTGAAGGATCGGCATGGCAGTGGGTGTCCTATGCCTAAAATAGAGTGCTAAGGATTAGAATTGGGTGACATTGGTCTGTAGTATCAATCAGAAGCATCTCCTCTCAACTCAAGTCTCAGTCTGGGTTGGCAGTGCACAGGAAGGAGGCAGACTTCTATGATAAACTCCCAACTTAGGAAGTCACTTTCTCAATTCCCATCGGAAGTGGCAAATACTAGAAATTATTCTGGGCATTAAAAACAGCATAGCTTAATCCATATTGTGTGGTTAGAAAACACTGTGTAAATCTGGGCAATCTGAGCACACAAAAAACTAGAGGGCTAGGGGTGCAGCTCAGTGGCAGAGGGCTTGTCCAGATGTCTGAGAAGATCCTGGCTTTGATGTCAGCATCACCCACACAAGAACTGTAAAGATGATAATAAGGTACAGCATAAATAAGAGGAATCCTGTACCCATAGTAATACTCAAAAAAAAAAACAAAAAAACAAAAAACCAACAGGTGGAGGAGGGCTGTTCAGTAATAGAATAATGCAAGCTAATAAATGTAGAAGGAATGACAGAATTAGAAAAGCATCATTTTGTGAGCACCAAGTAATAACTGGTTTGAATAAGGATTCTCACTGATGCATAGGTGGGTGAAAAGATGCTTCAGGGCAGCATCTTCAGTGATCTCTAATTGATGGTCCACTGGTTATATCATAATGATGAAGCGAGAATTTGAAGATCTTCAGGATGCCACTTTAATCAGGTGACTAGACAGTAGCACGGGTCACCTGAAATCATGTGGTATATCACAGGGTTAACCTAAATTTAGTCTTGAGGAAAAGACAAATCCAGATTGTGGAACCATTTACAAGACAACTGTCTCAGACTGTTTAAATGTCCCAATGTCATGAAAGACCAAAAAAAAAAAAAAAGTGGTGAAATGTTTTAGACTAAAGGAAATAACAGCTGGTCTGTGAATAAAAACAGACTTAAAGAGCATTACTGGCTTATGGCCAAGATGGAGTGACAGGAACCAATTTAAACTTACAACCGAAACAGCAATAAAATATATGAAAGAACAAGTTTTCAAGACATTGGGTATCAGACAGTCATTAAATGGGAAGTAAATGAAGTGAGCCCCGTGATTTCCCTACCTGTTAGTCCCTGAGAAAACAGAATCCTTTCCTCTTCTAAGTTGTTTTCTCAGGTAGTCTGTCATAGGGATGCAAAGCTGACTAACACACTAGCTTACCACTCCGAGAGAGTTTCCAGGTTACAAAGTAGGGAAGGAACACAAGCAGAGACTGATGATCTCCTTACTTAAGGAAATGGACTTGAGGCTGGTTGAGTGGCTCAAGTTGTAGAGAGTCTGCCTTGCAAGTGTGAGGCCCTGAGTTCAAGCCCCATACTACCAATAAATAAATAAATAAATAAATAAATAAAAGAAATGAAACTCGAGATCCAGGTGAACCAAGGTGACTATAATTCAGAGCACAGTACCAGATGAGACAGAGTCACAGAGAAAAAACTCTGGAGCCGTGTCGAAGGATGGTCAAGTATACAGCAAGTGCTAATCAGTGCATGTGTGTGAGGAAACTACTCAGGGGTAGGAAAAGCCCCACCAAACAGATTAGAGGATATGGCACAGGGTTAGGAATACTGCCTGTTCCCACAAGGCAGACTGGAAACCCTAATGATCATAGGGCACTGGGTACTCAAAGGTCTTGCCTTAGTACTTGTCAATAATGACTCTGGATTAAGGGTTACTTTGTGGTCCCTCTTCACAAATCTTCAAAGTTAGAGCCCAAATGGTAAAATTGTTTTGAGTAACATAACCTCACCTGAAATATGATCAAGCATATTTATAGGAATATCAAAATATACAGCACACAACAAACTCAAATTCACAATGTGTGGAATCCAAAAATTACTAAGGATGCAAAGAGGCAATGATCTGTATTGAGGGGAAAAACAATCAATCAAAACCAACACAGAATTTACATGTATGTTAGAATGAGCACACAAAGACATGAACGAGTTCTTATAAATGTCCATGAGGTACGTACAAAACTTAAAGAGTGAAAATGGCCACAGAGAATGATAGTGTTTTTCCTATCCAAGAAAAAAGCAACAGGGCATGCTGATGCCCGCGTGTAATCTCAGCACTCAGGAGACAGAGAGGCAGGAGGATTGCAAATTTAAGGGCAGCTTGGGGGGAGGATGGAATAAAGGAGAACAGTGGAGCGGGTGAATTTAAGTATGATGTATTTGATACATTGTAAGAACTTGGGTAAATCATACAATGTACCAGTACCCAGCACAAAAATAAAAAAAAAAGGGAGGGGGGGTTTACATAGCAAGACCCTGTCTCAAAAAAGAAGAAAAGAAGAGAAATAGGAAGGTGGGAGGGAAGGAAGCAAAGGGAAAGGAGGGAGGAAGGACAGGGAGAACACCACTACCTTGGGTAACTAAGAAGCCTGGTTAGTGATGAGGCCTCTGCTATCCAGAGGAAGGCATCTCCCTGACAGTGGGTGATCAACTGGCAGACACTGTATTGGAGGTTGAGGATGATGAGACTGGAGCAGAAACCAAAAGATTTGACAGTGTGGGGATCATAAAAATGATCAGAGCAGAGGGCTAAATGAAGGGCCTTTTCCATACTAACCTTGAGCAATCCTGTCGACTGGCCGAGGAAACATAGGAGAAAATCTTTATGATTGGCTTAGACAATGATTTTTTTGGTCACCACTGTGGGTTTTAAAATTTTACTAGCATAACTTAACTGTACAAAGGGCTTTCATTGTGGTATTTTCAACAGGCATATGAAGTTCTTTGGTCATCTAGTTTACTCTTTCTTTGCCCCATCCCCTCTCATTCTTAACAGTTTTTCGGGTATATGGATTTTTCTTTTAATATTGTTTTTTTGTTTTGTTTTTGCGTTGGACTGGGGTTTGAACTCAGGGTTTTGCTCTTAGAAGCAGGTGCTCTAACACTTAAGCTGCACCTCTGGTACTATGGTTCTTAACTCAAGGCCTGTACTTGCTAAGCAGGCTCTCTACCACTTGAGCCACACCCAGTCCCTTCCCCACCACCACCCCTCCAATCCCCCTCCACTGCCTTTTTTTTTTTTGCTGAAGTTTTGTGTGTGTGTGTGTGTGTGTGTGTGTGTGTGTGTGTGTGTGATTGGGGTTTGAACTTGGGGCTTCAAGAGTGCAAAACAGGTGCTCTACTGCTTGGACCTCCACTCCACATAGCCAAACATAAAGGCTATGTACTGTATGATTCCATATATAAAATGCTCAAAAAGCCAGGTACCAGTGGCTCATATCTGTAATCCTAGCTACTCAGGAGGCAGAGATCAGGAGGATTGTCGTTTGTATGCCAGCCTGGACAAGTAGTTTGAGAGACCATATCTCAAAAAAAAAAAAAAAATCATAAAAAAGGGCTGGTGCAGTTGCTCAAGGTGTTGGCCCCGAGTTCAAATCCCACTACCCTCCCCCCAAAAAGAAAGAATGCTCAAAAAAATGCTGGCAGAGTGGCTCACCTGCCTGCCTAGCAAGGACAAGACTCTGAGTTCAAACCCCAGTACCATTAAAAAAAAAAAAAAAAGTTTGATAGTTGCAAGTGGCTAGCAGTGGGTGGATTGGACTGACCCCGAAAGGATGTGAGGGGCTTTTGGAGATGACAGGATCGTGTAATTATCATCAGTGGGGTTGGAGTTACATAGCTATGCAAACCCATTAAACTGTAGACTTAAAAAGTGTAAATTTGGGAGGTTTGGCTCAAGTGGTAGAAGCACCTGCCTAATAGGTGCAAAGCCCTAAGTTCAAAACCCAGTCCCTCAAAAAAAAAAAGTGTGAATTTTATTACATGGAAATGGCATCTCAATCAGCCTGACTTAAGAAATTAACCAAGCAAACCAAAGGAGACTAGGTGATACATAGATCTAATAAAAACTAACTTACAGTTTTTCCAAGTTAAGAGTCATCAGGAGGATGTTCTCAAGTGTCCCAAGTCGCACTTTGTGTTTTTCCCAGGTCCCTGGGGGAGAAAGCACACATTCATGAGGAACCTAACACAAAGAGTGTGTACTTAAAAAGACATTTCAAGGAAATGTTATTAGTTCAGGTTTGACTTCCCTATAATACGAGCCATCTCAGAAGTTTGTTACAGAAGTTAATTACTCTTATTGAAGAAATTTAAGTTTACCATTTGCATCATCAAATTAATGACCTTGGCATTGAATAGAGCCTAAGTCCTTTTTCTAACCATTAGCTTACTTCTCATTTTCTGTTACTTTCACTCCTACCCTTTACTCTTTGCTTTCAGGAACAAATGGTATTTGTACTTGTGTTTACACGTTCAATATCTCTGTGTCTTCTTCCCTGACTGGCTGTCTTGTTCATTATAACCCTTTCCTTTGCCAATAACATTTTTTTCAATTACCTAGTTAAAATTCAAATAATGACTTAACCTTTGATGAAGGTAAACAAGAAGAGAAATCATCTCATGACTCCTAAAAAGTACTGCAATACTTACAGGTACTTTAATGCTGGCAATTTAAAAAGATGGGAATCTTCGACAGTTGTCAGAGGATTACGACTGAGAATTCTGAAAAATGCAATGGAATTAAATGGTCATTTTCAATATCTATGAGACTACATGAAAGGTTTGTATTCATTTTTTGTATGAAAATTCTGGGTTAAAAAATAATTTTCTGTCTTTACCTACAAATCACTTTTAGAATCCGTAAACAGCCTTCCTTTGGGACTACCCAAGTCTCTAAAAAAGTAAAGTGGAGAAAAGAGGGGGGAAAGGTAGAAAAAAAATATGCCAAAGAACTTTCAGGTCAAAAACTCTTGAACTGATTACACTGGTAGGGAGCCCTGCCCTGTAGGAAACACTATTTTTAGTGTCCTCCAAAATTCACAAAGGTGCTCATCTTTCAATTTAGAGATGTAAAACAATTCATGACTGATTCACTCAGTTAAGGAAGAAATAGGACCAATTCCTTGGCTTTGAACTGGTGAAAGACACACTCCCATCCCATATTCTCACTTGTATTCTTCTGTCACATCACAGCCTTTGTTGCACTGCAGGTAATTAATCACCTGTCTTCCTATCAGTCTCCCAAACTATCAGCAGGTTAAGGGCAGGGACCACACCTTGTTGTTATCATCCCTGGCATAGAGCTTGAAATTTACTAGGTACTTAACAGGTATTTGTTGAATAAATAAATAACATTCTGTATACATACTATATACATTCTTATTCACTCTCTCTCTCTCTCTCTCTCCCCCCCCTTCTCCCTCCTCCCCCCTCTTTCTGTCTCTCCTTTGGTAGAGGGCCTTGCTATGTAGCCCAGGCTGGCCTTGAAATCCTGGGCTCAAGCAGTCCTCTTACATCAGCCTGTCATTAACTGACCACAGGCTGTGTCTGTCACTGTGTCTGGCATAAATTCACTTTTGATATAAATTTTTACTTCAAAAGGATGGATAGGTTTTCTTTTCAATTCTTTAAGCCAAGTAAACAAAAACAAAAAGTAAAGAAAGAAATAGGAAGAAAACAAAACCTGCCTTTAGGTTAACTCTAACCAAGAATCATTAGCATAACTTCTGTGGAACACACAAATGATTATTACAGCTAGTATCTATTGGGCCGGCAGGCATCTCTGATTATCATTACACACTTAATCGTCACAGTAATCTTGTGAGGTAGATATTATCATTATTCCATTTATAAAAGAGGAAACTGAGGCACAGAGAGGTTATATAACTTGTCTCAGGTCACCAAGAAAGTAATAGGCAAGGCTGGAATTTGAACTCAGTTCTGACCCCAAAGCCTGTGTTTAACCTATATGAAGAAAAGGGAGTCACGACAGGTATAACTTAAAACTTAATTCTGAGAGGACTTAGTACAGAAATAACTTTTTGAATATTTTTTCCTTTATTAGAGTATATTACCTATACGGAAATTGGTTACAAGTAACTTTATAAGCCTCATATGCTCATCTGGGAAAGCCTGGAGGAGAATTATAATTCCTTTTTTTAAATTCCCTTTGCCCTGTGGTCATAAGACTTTAGAGATTTAAAATCATGGCACATGGTGACATCAGTGAAAATGATGAAGTAAGAACACAATAATCACCTCATACATGTAGGTATAAAAGAAATGTTATGAGCAGAGGAAGAATTCACTAAGTTTCCAAAAGAAGAGAAGATGGTTTGCTGCACAGATGTGAAGAATAAGATGCAGATGGAAGAAAAGAGGTCAAAATTGCTCAAAACTTTCCAACCTTTACAAATTAAGCAGCCAACGTAAATCATCCCAAAAGGAAAGACCTGAGCTGTTATTTTCATCTTTAATGATTTGGCCTCTCTCAATCTGAGAAGAAGATGCCAGGATTCCAGCACAAATCAAAAGTGATGACCGCAGCCTGAAGCGTGCCAATTTTGAGGCACCTACAGCTATCTATGGGAACCAATGCTAGCGGTCTGGGAGGAAGAACAGGGTGTTTCTGAGACTGCAGCTCAGTTTGCCTTCATAGTGGCCACTCCTGCTTCGTGGATATTCTCAATAGTAGAACAAGTAGTTCAACAGGGAGAAAGCTTGGATTTTCCTTCCTCTTTGTCTTAGTGCTTTTGTTCTTAGCACAATCTTGATGAGACAGACAAGCCCTGTGAAAATGCTCTGTCCAAATAAGATATATACTTTTTACCCGGTAGAATCCTTCAGTTTCTAAAATTGTGGAGCTTGTGTTCTTTGAACCAATGAAGCAACTAAAATAATTTTAAAAACTAAGCCATCAGTCTGGACCTGTGCAGGAGAATGAAGAAGTACTTTAAAGTTGGTGGTGGGCAGGAAGTGCACTTAACATTTAGGACTACCAGCCACTACTGGTTTCTGTATGTGTTCCACTCCTGATTTCATCTGAAACAGAGATAGGATTGCTATGACCATTTGAAGAATGGTGCTTTGCTAACGAGCTTGGCTCCCCTCTGAGGTGGATTTGGGCTCTAACATGCTGCTAACTTGTTGTTTTTCAGTAACATAGAGGCTTTACTCAAGAGATTTATTGGGTTCTAATTACCTGAACCCAGGGGTGAATCTAGTACCAGGCACTATTGGGGTTTGAACCCAGGGCCTTGTGCTTGCTAGGCAGGAGTGTACTATTTGAGCCATGCCCTACCTCTTCTGATTTTCTCATCATCAGGAAGCAAATGTCTTTTCCTGTTAAGAGTAACACAGTAACTAGAGATAACAAGTTGGTGCATCCTCCTTTATGGGTCTTTCTTAATTGACCACCCATCCCTAATTTGACTGGAAACCAAAGACCACCCCCTCCCCCTGCCCCCAGGTTCTTTTCCCAAGTAGGAATCAGCAAAGTGATGAAGGGATAAAGGAGGCCGCTACCTCCAGGCACAGGTCAACCCCCCCTCCAATCAGAAAGGAACTTGGGAACCTGAATTTCTCATGCACAAGGAAGGTGGATGATCTTTCCCAGAATAGAGTTTGGAGACTCAAAGTGAAAATTGTCCATCTTGAGTCTAAAATGCCTTTAGGTTCTTCAACATCATAGATTTCTTTCTTTTTTTTTTTTTTTTTTGCGATAGGGCCTTCCTATGTAGTCCAGGTTAGCCTTCAACTTGAGCTCCTTCTGCCTCTGCCTCCCAAGTGCTGGGATTACAGGTGTGTAACACCAGGCCTGGAGAACAGCATAGAATTTTTAAATTTTTACTATTATATTTTTGGTAGTGGGGATTGAACTCAGGGCCTTATGCTGGCTAGGCGGGTGCTCTAATACTTGAGCCACATCCCCTTTTTACTTTAGTTATTTTTCCAATAAGGTCTCATGTTTATACCCAGGCATAAACTGTACTGTGATCATCCCATTTACGCTTGTCAGTGGCTAGGATTATAGGCACAAGTTATGGCACCCAGCACATCGTAGAATTTTTAGCTAAAAAGGTATTAAACCCCACACTTCTTGTTGAAGGTAGTAAGGGAAAAAAGTATATGGAGTCAGGCTAGAGCAATGTATTTTCTTTATGAATATTTTTTTACCATATAGCTTAACACAAACACGATTTTTTTTTTTCTTTTTTGGTGGCACTGGAGTTTGACCTCAGAGCCTCATACTTGCTAGGCAGGTGCTCTTACCGTATGAGCCACTCTGCCAGCAGCATCTTTTTCTTGAAAAATAATGTTCTGAAGAGAGAGGTGCCCTGTGGCAGGTTTTTAGGAATTCTTTTGATTTGTCATTTGGGAGAAACTGACACTGCAAAGGCACCTGCCACATTTGCTTCCTGGAGCATTCTGTGTTCAACTTGGCTCTTTGTAAGCAGCTCTACATTGCAAACATTTAAGCAGTTAGGAACTCTGCATGTGAGATGGAATCAGTGTAAGCTTGTGCGTGGAATTTCACGGGCCTTTCACATATGACAGTGGCACCATGACTATGCTAATTTGAGTGTTACTTGCACGATACCTCCAGTTGCCCCTGCCAAAGATCAGTACTAGGGAAATCAGAGCATGTCACATATAAGTCACACAAGGCTCCTGTCCTGTTGTGCCTTAGTTTCCTTACTTCAAAAAACAGAATGGATCAAGACATACTACTCACAAAATTTGTACAGGGCTTATACCCAGCTAACATTAATCTAATGAGGTTTTTCTTTTTTTTTAAGACATAATTCAGTTTTGAAACATGCTTATCTTTTATTCCACTTACACTTGCTGTAAAAACTGCATTCCATGCCATGCCTGAAATGTTCCAAAGTTCAACTCTGTGATGAAATTGCAACCAAGATTTCTACAAAAAAAAAAAGCCAAAGAAGGTAAGGAAAAAGATATTCTTTCAGAACACTCATCATGTGGTAGTGATTCTAACTTACATTTGATGAACTATAACGTCAATACTTTCCTCCTACATTAAAGAAATCTCACTGTGGATGATACTGGCTTATGATTTTACTTTCATATTTACAAATGCAGTGCATTAGATACAAAACAATGAATGCTTGAGGATTACTTGTGTCAAGTGATCTTTATTTCTCTACAACAGGGATTCACATCTTCAGTGCTACTGACATTTCTGGTTGGACAATTTTCTGTCTACTGTAGGATATTTAACACCATCCCTATTGTCTGCCCCCTAGGTGCCAATAGCATATCCACAGCCACCAAGTGTCACCTGGGGGGTAAAGTCACACTGATGGAGAAGCACTGCTGTGGAATGTTTCACTCTGTCCTGTAATGATCCTCACATTCATCTTTGCTGCACACTAAAAGAACCTGCATATATACTTTTAGTAACTTTCTATTAGCAAAATTTTAATTATCTTTCAAAATGAGTAACAAGATTCTAGGCATAATCAAGTAACTTACACAAACTTCAAAAAAGGTAGTGATTCAAATGTCCCTCTTTCAATATACTGTATTTTATTACAGGATAAATCTCTAGGAAAAGGAAAACATTGCATCGATTAGTTATTAGATATCTAATTAGCATGAATAGATAGAGTTTAGACTCAATAGTACTGAAAACATAGTTTTTTCTAAACTCTAAACCTTTGGATTTGAACTTTCTAAAGCCCCTAATCTTGTTCCCACCTAAGACTCATCTTCATGATTTTCATAAATAAAACATACAACTGTAGATCTTGAAGGAGTTTGGAGATAATCTTTCCTGATAGCAGGAGGACTATGTGACCTTTTGTATTCTCATCAAATTCCATATTTTGAGCTAAAGGTTTTAAGTTGTATGTATAATGGTAATATTAGGAGGAATTTTCTCTCTCTCTCTCTCTCCACACACACACACACACACACACACACACACACACACACACACGCATATATATCTTCCTGATTTGTTTTTGTTAATCAGTTCAATACCAGAATAAAAGATACCCTTTCATATCATTTGAAAGGCAGCTGCTTCTCTAATATATGACTTTGAACTAATTCAAAATTATCCTTTCATGTTAACGAATTCATTTTTTGTTTCATATTGACTCAATATTCCAAGAAGACAACTGCTTCAGTTGTACAGTGGTGAGACAACAAAAACAACATGAACTTGGATTCTTGAAAACAGCCATCCTTTACAACAGGTAATTCTCCTCCTTCCTCCATTCCAGCTTGCCCCTCACTGTTCACCTGGATGGGTGTAACTGTCCTGACTGATTCCTACCTCTACTCTCTCCCCTTCTAGTCAATTCTGAATAGTCACCAGTAGACTCTCCAGAAGTGGTTCTCAAACACCTCCATTACTGGGGAATTTTTTGTTTTGTTTTTTGAGAGAGGGTGTTAGTGTGTAGGCCAGGAAGACCTTGAGCTCTTGCTCCTCCTGCCCCAGCCTCTCCAGTGTTGGGATCACAGAGGTGTACTACCATGCCCAACTTGTTTTTGGTTTTTGAGACAAGGTCTTACTGTGTAGCCCAGGTGGCCTGGAACTTTCTACATAGCCTAGGTTGGGCTTGAACTTGAGATCCTCCTGCTTCAGAATCCCATGTGCTGGGATCACAGGCATTTACCACCACCCCTGCCATCTGGGAACTTTCAAGGATGCAAATTCTCAGCCTCCTACAGACTTACTGAACCAGTAACTGTGGTCGGCGTGGTGTCCAGAAACAAGTTGTAACAAGCCCTCCAGGAAACTCTGAAGCAGGCTCAAGGTTGTCTTACAGCATGGCTCTGATAATGTGGTTCCCCATCTCGACTCCTTTGCTTGGCATTCAAAGTCTTAGATCTGCTTGCAATCTCCTACTCTTCTTCTCTTCTACTCTACAGGTACTCATGGCATTCCTCAAGCACTTTCTTGCCTTTTGCCTTTCTCCCACTCTACTTCTGCAGAGTTTTAGAGAGAGACATTTCCCCAAGATACCTCTCTGGCGATTCCCTGGCGCCCTTTAAGGTTCTGTTCCAGCAGTGTTGCTCTGGGAACAATTTTTCTGACCCAGTTCAAAGTATTTTTCTTCTCATTTGTGGTTTTCATACAATTTATACCTTTTTAATGTTTCTATGGCTTATGGTTTAATGGTTATTTTTCCATCCCATTTCTCCTTGAAAGCATGCACTAGGTCTTACTTGTCTGCCTTGCCAAGCACACCCAATATTTATAAACTCAATCACTAGCAGGGGAGTGAGCAGAAGAAAAATGACTACTTAAAAGGCATGGAGTTTATTTCTTCCTGACCAACCTCTTCTGCACCTTTGCTGTAGTATGGTTTAAGGTTATGCATTTGTTTTCCCTGGGAGCCCATGAAGGGTTGATGATTCAAAGGACTATGTTTTGTGCCATGTGAGGCTCTTTATACTCGCTTCCAAAAGTCTTCTTTTGAAAGGAGAACTACTTGATAAAAGCTAATTAGATTAGTAAGCTAATTAATGTAAGCATTAATAAGCTCAATGAAGTACACACAACTGCACCCCCTGGACAAAGGACAAAAGTCAAACTTTCAAGGCAAAGAACATAGTACTTTCTTATCTCCGAACAGACAGAAATACTATGCAAATAGTCCCTCCTCATCCACAAAAGCTGCTGAGATTTTTATTTTGTACTCAGTGAAGAGTTAGGGCAGCCAGGTGTGGTGGTTACTTGGGATCTGAGGTTTGAGGCCAGAACAGACAAGTTAGTGAGACCAGATCCACTTAAAAAAAAAAAAAAAAAGGATAAACCATTTTTAACTTATGAGCTATAAAACCAGACTGTGGATTGAATTTGCTCCATGGACCATAGACTAAATATAAATACAAAACACACTTATAAACCAAGGTTCATAGGAGTGTCATAATTAGTTTTTTACAACTGTATCTTTTTGTTGGTGGTGGTGGTACTGAGGTTTTAACCTCAGGTTTTTGTGCTTGCAAAGTGTGCACTCTACTGCTTGAGCCACACCTCCAGCCCTACATCTTATTGTATCTTATCTATACAATTTTTAAAAATCTGAAAATGCAAAGAAAGCATTTAATGCCAGAGTTGGACTGAGACCCACACAGACTTACAAAAGGGCAGAATTTTATTGCTGGAGGAGATTCCAGAAAGTATCTACTTTGAACACTTTATACATTTCATAAATAGTAACTCACAGATAAATGTGATCAACTGACTAACTTACAAATACTCGAGGGACAGCAGGCCTTCAAATGAATCCTTACGTAGTTCAGTCAGGCGATTTTCACTGAGAATTCTGGAAGATGAAAGGTTATCTCTGTATCAAAATTCATCAAAAAGATGTAAAGAATCGAGTGGTGAAAGGCTCGGGGAAAGGAGTGCTATCATATTCTGTTGCCTGGAGTGTAAGTTGGTGCCACTTTTTAGAGGCAATTAAAATTCCCTATCTGTACTAGTCGTTAACTTACCCATCTCATTCCTAGATCCCTATTGTACAGGAATATTTGTCCATGCTCACAAAGAAGTATGTACAGGGTTGTTCATTGTAGCTATGAGTGCAACAAGAAAACTTGACATGCTCTAAAAAGAATATGGAATTATGAAATCAACCACAATGTGCCCCACTGTGGAATATTTTGCAGGAGCTTATGGGTAGGGAAAGTTCTATGTACAGGGAAAGAAGTAAACATGACACAGTGAAGAGAAAATGTTATGAAAATCATGCAATAAAACTATTTGCTGTATATAAATATGCAGGTAGGCATGCATGTTTAAAATAACCACAGAACTTCAATCAATTGAGTTCAATCCAGGATGTGGAGGGGAAATACCTTTTCTCAGAGTTACTGACCTCAAAATTCTCCACCAAGGAGGCTCTTACAATGCAGTTTTTGTATTCATATTTGGAAAGAAAATACTCACAGTTTCTCAGTCCAACGATATGCTTTCCATGTATTTTTATCAATGTAATCAATAGCGTTTCCATGGAAATTTCTGTGAGGAAATAGTTTATATCCTTGAATAAGTAGGAAAATGAGGAGCAGAATAAGTGAAAGAATCATTGCAAACAGGGCGGTGGGGGGGGGGGCGAGGGGGAAGTAGGGAATGTTCAAATATAGGAAAACCACCAGCTTTGTAACTTTGAGAACTCCCAGTTGTTCAGTTTGCAATTAATAAAGAAATAACGGGACGAGCAGCACAAATGATGAAGGATCTCATCAGAAGCCCAAGTCCCACTGTCCAATCGCTTGTATATATAATGCCAGTCAATTATTTTGAATGCAAGTATTTTTCTCAAAATCATTTGTGTTTAAACTTACTCCTACAAATCAATGAGAAAAGGACAAATAATTCAATAGGAAAATGGGGAAATTTTTATCATTATTAGCAAATGAGAATAAAGAAACTCTGTCAGGTAACACCAAAGCTTTGCCTAAGTGATCTTACAAAGAAAGAGCATATAGAAAGCAGGAAGTGCATTCCTGAAGGGGGAGGACAATTAGAAATGAGCTGATGTGGAAAGGTCTCTGGTGCAGGGGGAAGCACAAATCTGAGGAGGAGTTTACAGCATTACCTCATCAGGGAAAAAGTGCAAAGAAGAGAAAGTGGAAGGAAGGACACACAGGGGTGTGAAACAGGGGTTATCTTATGGGTGGTAGGCATGGAAGAGTGGGTGATAAAGGGTGTGAGGGTGGCTGTATACGTTCACATTTTTCCTACATGCTTCTATGACTTTTTGAGGTGCTGGGGATTGAACCCAGGCAACCTCAAAATGCTAGGCAAGTGCTCTACCACTGAGCTACATCCCCAACCATTTGGTTTTTTTTTGACACAGAGCCTTGCTGTGTGGTCAAGAGTGGCCTTGAAATTCACACCCTCCTGTTCCAGTCCTCAGAGTGGCGGGATTAAACACGTGTGCCACCACACCAGCATTTGAGACTTTTTAAAAGTGGGAATCTATCCTTAGGTGACACGTGTTTAAAAGAAGGTGTAAGCCAGGCTCCAGTGGCTCAGGACTTTAATCCAAAACAACAACAAATCCTCCTGCTTTAATCATTCATCTCTCTTCCTTGGAAACGTTTAGTGACTCTCCACACCTCACTGTAACTTTCAAACCCCTATAGTTCATATTCAAGGTCTTTCATAATAACATCTTTCATTGCTTCCTAATCCAATTCTTTGCAGGCAGACTGGTCTACTAAAGCCTGATTATTGCTGCAGCCGTGCCTTTGCCTAGGTTGTTTTTTGTCTATTTAACAGTTACAGCCACTCTCTAAGCTCTAGATAAACTTTCAGCTTATCCTCCAGTTTTCTATAACCTCCACAACTCAGCGATTACAGAATCCGACGAATTACAGCTCCTATAGTCTGATTCTCTTTTAGCATTTCATTATATACCATCTCTCCTTTTTATGCCTTTTTTCCTTTCTTTGCATCTATCATTTTCATGTTCTGGAGACAATGCCATAATTCTGTGACTCCCACAGAACTTAGCCCTGGGTTGGGCACAAAATGGATGCAATATGTAGAAATTATAAGGACAAGGATGAGTTCTGGACATAACTGAGGGACTGAATAATATTATTAATAGTTATCTGAATATTTAGCATATACAGATAAGTATTACATGTATTCATTCATCTAAATCATACAACAATCCTATGAAATGGTAACTATTATAATTCCCATTTCCACAGATGAGGAAACTGAGTCACAGAGCTAAATAATTTGCTCAGGTGTACAAAGTTAATAAATGAAAGGCCCAGATTCAAACCCAGGCAGTCAGGTTCCAGAATCAACTCTTAGCCACTTTGTTGTATCCTCACTAATGAGATGAGTTGTAAAGCAAAACTGGGAGAGCAAAGGTTAAGCAGTGAGATGACACAGCTGAATAAAAATGGATATGGAAAAAGAGAAAGGGCAATTGAGAATTAAAGAACAGAGAAGGGAACCATAATAAGAAGGAGAATGCAGACAAGGAAAAGTTGAAAAGCAAAAGGTAAAAGCAGACAGTCCGTGTGGGTTAGGGAGATGAGGAAGGCCCAGGAAGACCTTGAGGAAAAGGCTGCCCTGCAGGCAGAGTGTAGAGCACAAGGGAGGAAAGGTGGATCTTACAGGGTGGTGAGAACCTTCTTGTAGGTGTTGGGCTTCGGCACAGGCACTTGGCGGAGCTTCTGCGTTGGGCTGAGACCAACACACAACAGTGATTCATCTCGACAGGTACAGAGCTCACATATGTTGGTGTACGGGGTGGCATTCGGTTCCGTTTGCAGAGTTAGAGCATTTTCTGTGGTGGGATTTACAGGATGTGGAATAGTGGTGCGTTTCAGACCAGACTGAAGCTGTTCTGAATGTGGAGGTGTCACTTCAGTGTGCTGTGGAGGAGTTGGAGTGTTATTTGCCTCTGTAACTGGCAACGTTGGATGCTGAGTTTGATCTTGACCTGATGTTGGAGTTTGAATTGTAGTCTCTGTAGTTGAGGTTTCCTGCACAGACAAACGTTTAGCCTCTGTAGTAGGGTGTGAAGATTTGGTAAGCTCCTGCTTTAAAGTCTGAAGTGTGACTTGTGGAAGCGTCACCTCAACCTTCGGAGGAGGAGCTGTTGTCTTAGAATGTTTAGCCTTTGTAGTGGGTTCTGCAGTTGAGGTAAGTTCTAGATCAAAATGTAGAATTGTGACTTGGGTCAGATTTGGATGCTGAATCTGAACCTGGTCTAGATGTGGAAGTGTCACCTCCTTTGGAGGAGACTCTGTCATCTTCAGGTCTGGAGAATATCCAGCCCCTGCAGTAGGTATTGGAGTCACGCTAAGATCTAGTTCTGTAAGAGACACTGAATGCGGGGTTTGATCCTGACCTGACATTGGAACTGTCATTGCATAATACACTGGAGCTTGAGGTATAAACTCCTTAGGTGGCTCTGGAGTCTCAGTTAGGGTGTCCTGCGTGGTTTGAGAAGATTCACCCTGCAAACTGGACTCTGAAGTTAAGGTAATTCCCAGATTGGAAGGCCGAACTGTGAATTCATTCAGGTGTGGACGCTGAGCCTGATCCTGGACTGGATGTGGAAGTGTCCCCCAGGGTGCTTTGGAGGAAGAGCTGTTGTCGTCTTCACATTGGTAAAATGTTCAGCCTCTGTAGTGGGTTCTGGAGTTGAGGTAAGTTCTACTTCAAAAGGTCGAACTGAGACTTGGGTCAGATTTGGATGGTGAGCCTGCATCTGGTCAGGATGCTTTAGAGGAGCTGTAGGGTTCAGTGGGGCTGTACTGAGGTCAGCCCCTGTAGTGGGTTCTGGAGTTATGGTGAGATCCAGGCCTAAAGTTTCAAATGAGGGGCTGGGTGATGTTGGATACTGAACTTCATCCTGACCTGGTGTTGGAACTGGTGATTGAGGTACCACCTCCATAGGGGGCTCAGTAGGCTGAACTGGGTTCTCTTGCATGGTTGGAGAAAGCTCATCTTCAGTAATAGGCTGTACAGCTATGCTAAGTTGGAGATCCACAGGTTGAATTGTGTCTTCGGTCAGATTTGGATGCTGATCCTGAACCTGGACCGGACGTGGAAGTGTCACTTGAGGGGGCTTTGGAGGAGGAGTTCTAGTCTTCTTCATAGGTGGAGAATTTTTAACCTTTGTAGTGGGTTTGGAAGTTATGGGAGCTCCAGATCCAAAGGTTGAAATGTGACACTGGACATTGAATACTGAGCTTCATCCTGACCTATTGTTGGAACTGCCATCTCATAATGCACTGGAGGCTGAGCTGTGGGCTGTGGCTGGCCTGGAGAAGACTCAACATTTTCAGGGAATTGTGGAGTCTGGGAAGGGGGATGAGACGGGTTGGAGAAAATCCAAGTTGCTCAGGGGCATCTGTAGGGTTTTGAGTGTCCTGCTGGCCAGGAATGGGTTCAAACTCCACAGTGGTCTCTGGAGTCATGGTAATCTCCACATCCCCATGTGTAACTGTGGTTTCTTGCAAATTTGCATGCTGATTTCTAAATATCATTTCTAGATTGTGAGGTGAAAGTGATGTGTTATCTGCCAATGGAGGAAGATCACTAGCCTCAGAGGATTCTGGAGACGGAGTTGGGAGTTGTGGCTGAATTGGTGAAAGTTCAGCATTCGCAGGGGGCATTACAGGAGGAACTGAGCTCTCCTGCTGGCTTGGAGAAGGTTCCTCAGGAAGCTCTTCTGGCTGAGTTGTAGCCCCTTGATTGACTGGAGAAAGTTCATCCTTTTCTGAGGGTTCTGGCATCTGAGTTGTAATCTCATGCTGGTTTTTCAAAGCTTCAGACTGTTCAGAGGACACTGAGGACTCAGCTGGTTGTTCCTGCTGGGGTGGAGGAGGTTCAAACTCCTCAGTATGCTCTGAGGCCTGTACTGGAGCAGCCATGTGAATTCCAGAAAGTTGAGCCTCCCCAGGAGACACAGAAGGCTGAACTGTTTGTTCCTTCTCACCGAGAGAAGGTTCTGCCCCTTCAGCATACTCTGAAGGCTGAGTTAGAGCAGATGCAGCCTCCTGGGCTGGCTCTGGAGTTATGGTAATTGCCACATCCACAGGCTTACTTGTTTCACTGGCCAAGTTATCCTGTTGTGCTTGATTCTGAACGCGAGCTTGAACTGTCACCTCTGGAGCTTGAACTGTCACCTCTGGAGCTTGAACTGAAGCCTCTGGAGCTTGAACTGGAACCTCTTGCTCAGGTGAAGGCTTGACTTCCTCAGATGGCTTTGCAGGCTGAACTGGAGCTTCTGTCTGGCTTCCAGAAGGTTCCAATTCCTCAGAAGACTCAGAAGGTTGAGCTGGCTGTTCTTGCTCACTGGGAGAAGTTTCAGTCTCTGAAAGAGGGCCTGAAGGCTGAGGTGGGACCACTTGCTGGGTTAAAGAAGGTTGAAGCTCCTCACCATACTCTGGAGGCTGAACTGGGGACTGCAGATGGGTTCCAGAAGTTTCAGCCTCCCCGGGAGATTCAGAAGGCTCAGCTGGGGCCCGTGGCTGGGCTAGAGAAGATGCAGCCGCCTTGGTAGGCTCTGATGTCATGGTGATTTCCACATCCACAGGCTTACCTGTAACACCGGGCAAGATAGTTTGTTGAGCTTGATCCTGAGCTGGAGGTTGAACCGTCACCTCCTGATTTGGTAGAGTTGGAGCTGTGTTCTCTATAGGGGACTCTGGAGCTTCATCTGTAGGATCTTGCTCAACAGGGGTTTGACTTCTTTCGGAGGAGTTGTAGGCTGAACTGGGGCTTCCATCTGGCTTGCAGAAGGTTCAGTGTCTTCAGGGAGCTCTGAAGTCTGAGCTGGAGCCTCTTGTTGGATGGATGAGAGTGTTACGTCCTCAGTATTCTCTGAGGCCTGCTTCTGCCTTGGAGAAGGCTCTGGAGTTACTGTAACCTCCAGATCGGTATGTTTCACGGTGACTTTTGGCAAGTCTGAGGGTTGAACTGGGGCTTCTTGCTGGACTGCAGAAGGTTTCAACTTGCTCAAGGGCTCTGGAGGCTCATCTGTGCTCTCCTGAGGTTTCAGAGGAGGGCTGTCAGAATCAGCTGTGCTCAGACCTGGATCTGTGTCATCATCCTGCAAGGGTTGTGTCTGAAGCTGAAGGTTTGCAAATTGGTGTGGAGTTCCAACCACAGTGTCCTCAAGTTCGTGATGCTGAGCTACATACTTTTTCAGTTTCCAGGGTAAACCAATAAACATTTTTCTTTTTGATCTCTTATGATCAAGAAGTGGAACAAATACATCAAATACTTGATCTGAAGCCTGATCTAGACTGACAGGCTGAGTCTTACTTTTGAGTAGAAGAGGCAGAGCTGGGGCCTGATTCTGTTCCCCGCAGGTCAGCTGGACCAAGTCCTGGGCCCTCTTCGGAATGGGAAAACCCTGGGTCAACAACCATGTCTCTAGCGACATGAGAAGGAGCCTTGGGGCCCAAATACCTAGAAGGGACATGACATGCAACAGGGACAGAGTCAAGGGAGTAATGCCTTGGCAGCTTCCCTAGCTCACCTTGGCACAGCTCCTGCCACGCCACCCTTTATGACACCTTTGTTTAGGAAACAAACCCTTACAAGGCTCAGCCCAGTTGGGCTTCAGGCCCTGCAGTAAGGAGCCTTTTCCCACAAAGACAAGACCCAAATGTCATTCCCCTAGAGGAGGCCACAAATGCCTTTTATGGGGCCACTCCCCCACAGCGAGGCGGGGTTGGAGCTCAGACCTGGGGCCAGCAGCCCATTGGGTATGGTGGGGCAGGGCGGGGCCTCCAGGGATATTCCCAGGGCTAATCCAGTTTGGGCAACCTGAGCTTCTCCTCTTCCAAGCGGACATCCCAGAGATACTCTTCCCCTTGGCTGTACTGCTTCCAAGAAAAGCAACTCGCCTGCGAAATCAGAGCCAATTAGGGTGCAGGCAAGACAGCACACATTACAGTTATTTATTCCACAATGCTGCCATTTCCTCTAAACTCTTAGTTCCACGGTTCATGATCCACCACTCCCTTGTTGGGGCTACCAGAGAATCAGGGATGATTCCAAAAGTTCTGCAGGAGGGGTCTTGGGCGGTGGGCAATTCAGCCTGACACAGAAGGTTAGATCTGACATGGCCCCTTACATTGGCCTGGGGAAGCAACCACATCCCGCCTTGGCTCAACACAGTTAGAATCTAGAAGTGACACCACCACGACTCAGAGGTCTACCCCATGTGCACGCGTGGACAAGACATTACTTCCTTCAGAGCCCTTCTTACAACAACCTATTTTACTGTATGTTTATTGTCCACCATGGCCCATCATGTAAAGTCCCAGAATAGGCTTCATCCTATTTATTCCCCTCGCCTTGCACAGGGCTGGGCACATTGTGATGGTTTTAAGGATGGATCTGTTATAATCAGATTTCTGAAATCAGTGCTGACTTCTCTCTCGTTTCACAGGAAGCTAGGCCTCCTAAACTGTGACTGGTTTTATTTAAACTGAATGAACATAATTATTTTACACGGGAAAAGCTTCCAATACTTTTTCAGCTTATCTCTACCGTTTCAAGACAAAACACTTCACAACTTCAGGTCAAGTTAAATAATCAAAAAAATCCCTAAATTAAGTTCCCACTGGCATGAAACACACTTTTTGCTCCTCCCCTCTTAGCCTATCCTATACACAGTAAGTAGTATCTATTTCCTTCTAGAAATTACTTTGGCAACTTAATCCTTAAGATTTAGGGACTTTCAGATAATTGATTTATAGAAAGGTTCTTTGGAAGGCAAAATATTCTCCGTGAGACATGGGAAGATGCTGAGATTTAGGTAGTACTCCACAGTTGAAAAGCGTAATGGTTTTCACAGGCATAAAATAATGGCATAAGGCTGAAGGTAGTATTTTGTTCCTAATCCCTGGGATCCTGTTTGGGAAGAGTTCTAAAAAGATTTATGTTCAATCATCCTGACCTCTTGAACCCCTGCAGACGGAGGGAGCCCAGACCCTCTCTTGGATCCACAACTATAGTAGTACTCAGAGGCCTCAGTCCTGTTCTCCACACTTCAAACAAGAGCTCAGAGTTAAGACTGGGAGTTTAGGAAACGCCCCAGAAATCCCCTGTATTCAATTAATTCACTTGAGGTTCCCATTTTGCTAAGAATGATATGTGCACAAGTCCTCCAAATCCTGTTGCCTGTTTTGAAGCATGGCTACACTGGCTAAGTCACCCTTGAGCTTTCCTCTCCACATGATGAACTCGTGTAGTTCTTCACTTTTGGCATCTTCCCTGGGTCTGTACTCTATAGCTATTTTACCACTACGGAAATAAAGTTAATGAAGATCAATTGAGAATTTTTCTTATTGTAAACTTATTGCATATAACAATAGCATCCAATAATGAGTCATTCTGTTTAAATTTTGAACTCACAATGCTCTTGCCTCAGGCTCCCCATGCTGAGATTACAGACCTACATCACAATGCCTGGCATGAGACGGTCTTCGATTTCAAAAAGCAGAAAGGGAAAATATTTCCCTAAAAATGTCCTCATCTTACACCACAATTTCTAACATAAACGTGTGTTTAAAAACACATATGAAATATCAACTGGTTTTGGTTCAAAGAACTTTGTGATTTTAGGGACAGGAAGTAAGAATAATGACAGGAATTTGGATTCAAAAATGTTCAAAGGATTGAATGGATAGTAAGACATTAGGCAGGGGTCAAAGTGAGTTCAAAGTTGGTAAGAGAGACCAACGGACGAGTAGATACCTCATATTAGAAGCAAGGGGGAAGCTCTAACAACCAAATCCACTCCATACAATGAGCACAGCTTTAGAGAAACTTTTATTGACAGAAACTGCACCATGTACCTTATACACAATACAACTTTCCTCAAAGCACACTAAGAGCCATTAGGCTTTTGGTCTAAGGAGAGAAGATTTGCAGTCATTTTTCTCACAAATGTCACAAGAACATATGAAACTATCATTATAAAAGACTAGTGGATGAAAGCATAATATGGAATATTTTAAGTCTCCATGTTTTCACCCATTTACCTTTTCGCAGTGAGTTTATTTTCTCATTGAAACTGAAGTCTTTTAAAGACAGTCAAGAAAGTTTTACCTAAAACCACAATGGTCAGTTTGTGGAAGGCATCTGACAAAGCTCTCTGAATAGTGAGCTTCTGTTTTCCTTTTCACAAAGAAGGATGAGGGCCCTATATCCAACAAAACAGATGGATTTAAAATATCTCTATGATTGATAACTGTTCTATGTTTAAAAATAATACACCCACGATTCTCAGGTCATTATCCTTGTGATTACAGGTAGACAGCACAGGGTTTAGCTGCATGGCTCTGCTGTAGGTACATGCTGCTAGGGTCTATTTTCATTGTCTTAATCTATTCTGGAAGGTCCTGATGTATCAGAAGGGGGATCTAAGCCGGGAACTTGGCACAAATTTCAAATTGACAAGTGGAAGCTCTGCCCCCTACAGACCCTTGCCTTCTTGCATCACATACACTGAGAACGGTTTGGTGGCAGAACAGATGCTCTGGCTCCTACCCGTGCATAAGCCACAGGAGCCTACTCAACTGCATTCGCTAACAGCCCTGCCTCTGACTTAAACACAAAAGCTGAAGGGCCATGGGTTCTAGAAAAAACTCAATATCGATCTGAGAACTATTTGTAGGTATCCACGTTTGACTCGTTTTCTGCTCAAGCCCTTTTATGAGTAGGGAGTAGGCAAAGAACTGAACATTTACACAAGAGTTTATGGAAATTATTAGATGATGATTTTGCTGAGACAACTGAAGACTACAAAGAGATCTGTATTTGAAAAACTCTTTTACCATAAAGCAAGTTCTTAACCAAAAACTAGAAAAAAATTATTTCCTTTCTCCTCCTATGCTTCTTGGCAGGAAGTCTGCTCTCAAATTTTACACTGCAACACTCTGTGAGGTGTTGCCAAAAGTGAAACTGATGATGTAAGGCACAGAAACTCTGCCCAGAACTTCAGTAGCTTAGCAAGAGAGGGGCCTGAGAGGTACCAAAAAAAGTTTTAAAAGAAAGGAAAAAAAAAAAAGAGAGAGCCCTCTCCCTGTCCCCTCCCTGCACTGAGAACAGACCTTCTATAGCTAATTGTTCTTTTGTTTTATTATTACACTCCTCGCAAACACTGGAGAAAATTATGGGCTCCACCAACCAAGTGTTTGGAATGATTATTATTAATTCTAGGTGGTGGGCCAATTCAGATATATCCACTCACCCTCAACAGTGGGTGGGCTCTTGCATGTACTCCTCACAACCCAGTTCAATCCTGTATAAAGGATTATAATGTTGAAAGGAGAGTGTGGTTAGTCAAATTAATTCTACAAGGTTTACCTTAATGATCCTTTTTGACCATATATTGAAACCAAATTTGCAAGTTCTTGACATCGTGATCTGTTTAGGGCCAGGATCTGATACTGAACAGCCTTATGTCTGGTACCAAGATGAACTTAAGGTCACAGGTGATACTGCCACAAAAATCGCAACCTGCCAGAGACTTTATTTTAGATACATTTACTATTCATCAATACTCATTTCATAGAGTAGTTGTGAAGAGTATCTGAATAGGAAGGAACATTTTAAGTTCTATATTCATAGTGAGCCTTAAAAAAATATTGTCTGTTAGTCCTGAGTCATAGTACTTTCCTGCGTCATTTTTTGGGCCCCTGATTATTTGGAAGGCTTTTATGACCTCTGGTGGTAGTAATGATGATGAAAGTAACTAAGGAGCCCTGCAGCAAAAGTATAGGGCTGTGAGTGAGCAAAGAATTGTTTCCATCTTCCCAACCACTAGCTCCTGCTTGAGAATCTAACCTAAAGAGCAGATGCACCTGCCACTCACTCTATCTCCAAGCTACTAATGGCTGTTAGATGAAGGAAGGCACATATGTCTATGAATTTTACAAACAGCTAAAACTGTTAGAGGCTCATCTGCGCTAACATTCTTTGAGAATGCAAATTTCTCTAAGTATAAACTCTAACTCACATATCACATCTTTGTCTACTACTAGTTCATAACCTCCTGAAGGACCTGAGAGACTCATAGCTTATTCTTTTCTCATTCCCAAAACCAAGCCCAGTTCTTTATTTTTTTTTTCAGTTGAGCAAATAATTTTATTTTTTTTGTATGATTTTTTTTTAAATTTTATTATTCATATGTGCATACAAGGCTTGGGTCATTTCTCCCCCCTGCCCCCACCCCCTACTTACCACCCACTCTGCCCCCTCCCTCTCCCCCCCACCCCCTCAATACCCAGCAGAAACTATTTTGCCCTTATTTCTAATTTTGTTGTAGAGAGAGTATAAGCAATAATAGGAAGGAACAAGGGTTTTTGCTGGTTGAGATAAGAATAGCTATACAGGGCATTGACTCACATTGATTTCCTGTGCATGTGTGTTACCTTCTAGGTTAATTCATTTTG